CTTGCTTGTGATAATGGCGATGGCGTCCTCACCAGGCAAGAAATAAAGAAAGCTTTTGAAAGGCTCCAGGCCTTTTGGCCTGCTTATAGAGCATGGAAGGGAATCGCAGTAGCAGACTGTAACGGCGATGGACAGGTGAGTATGGAAGAGCTTGATGGCCTCATAGGTTATGTTTATGAGCTTGGGTACACCGGACATGATATGGTCAGAAAAATGTAGTGTATGCTTTAAGTTGTGTGCATGGGTATGAATGGTCATGAGTAGTACTAAAATAACATATATGGTTGGGCATAATATAAACGTATGTTCTGATGTAAAGAGGCTACCTACATCTCGATGTTGGCTCATTTGGCATCGTTGAGCCTTGTATTGTGTTACCGTTAATTATATATACATATTAGACCTTAAGTTTATAAAACCACAGTTCATCTTTATTTATTTTTTTAATTTTTATAATCATAAACTATATATATTTGTTAGGTTTTAGTTTATAAATATAAAAGATTATGTAAGACTAAGTTAAACCATGAGAAGTGAGTGAAAATGAGATATCAATTATCATACGTTTCCAACTCTCAATTAACAAGGAAACCATTTGGAGGTCGAAGACTCAAAATATAAATGTAAAATGCTTGTTTCTACTCCATTTGGGCATACCATGTGATAGACAAAATAAAGAGAAGAAAAATATAAAGATATATGAAGAAAGAAGTTTTTTCTTTCTTTTTTAATTTCACTAAATATACAATGTGCTTATTTATAGGCCTGTATAAAAGAATATTTTATAGTACAAAATCAATTAACCTAATTATATCAATCAATTATAATGTGAATCCAATTAACATAATTATAATATCAATATTATGTAACATCCCCCTCAAACTCAAAGTGGGGATGAGGAAACCAACTTAAATTTGGAAAGAATAGTACGGAAGCGTCCAGGAAAATAAGTTTTTGGTGAAAAAATCTGCATATTGAATATGCAAATCAATGCAATCGATGCCGTTGAAGGAGAAAGAGGCACTATTAGATCTGGGCAACAGCAATGTCAAAAGTTCAATTACGAGAAATTAAGAGTAAAATCAGCAAGAGGAAATCAAGAGCAAAATTAGTGGCAATTGGATGTGAGAAGGCTGGAGCAACACTGGCCATGGGAGCAACACATATTGCCAGTGCAATAAATGAACAGGATCAAGAAAACCCAATTGCAAATAAAGTCCAAGAAAGAAAGCAAAGATGATGATGATCAGCATCACCTACAAGCAAAACAACAACTCACAAAGGAGATGAACAGTCATAGTAAAAAAAGCCTTAAGGCTCTGATACCACGATAAAAAAAATAAAGAAAAAAATATAAAGATATATGAAGAAAGAAAAACATTTTCTTTCTTTTTTAATTTCACTGAATATATAAGGTGCTTATTTATAGGTTTATACAAGAGAATATTTTATAATACAAAATTAATTAATCTAATTATATCAATCAATTATATATAATGTGAACCTAATCAATATAATTATAATATGAATATTTTGTAACACCATGCAATAGCTGAATATGGAATTCCTAACCCCTAATTTTACAACATGCCTTTGTACGTGCCTAAATCCGCGGTGTTTGGTCGATGTGAAGGGCAGCTGAAGGCTTTTTTCAAAGAATATGACGCTAACGGAGATGGCCACCTGAGCAGGTAAGAGTTGAAGAAAGCCTTCGAAGAGCTTGGTTCACGCATCTATATCTATGTTTCTGCATGTTGCCCTCCATGTTCTGTTGGAAATAAATAATTTTCAACATCAATATATATAATTATATCAAAAATATAATAAGGTTTAAGATTTAAGTATCGCTTATATTTGATTATATTTACACTCATGCTGCTTTTTAAAAAAAGAAAAAAAAAATTATCGGTCTATGACCATATGGAGCCTGTTCTTTTGACAATGGGTTTATTGATGATCACAACCTTGAAGCAGAGAAAAAACTCAGAATATCAGAATCCTAAATTTTCAGAATGTTAATTCAAGAGAACTCTTTAGGGACTTGATTGAGAAACCAAATATGTTTGGGGGGATACCTTTGAGGTTTTTCCTTAATTTCTTGTATGATATGGCTATCAAGCATGAGTTTTCACACACCATAACAAGTTGGGTTGCGTGGGAGAAGGTTTGCCTAAGTAAGCTTGATGGGGGGTTGGGTATAAAGAATTTATTGTGCTTTAATATGTCATTACTGGGAAAATGGTGGGGAAGATTGATTACCGAGAAGGGGGGATTGTGGAGGAGAGTTTTATCTGACATTTATGGGAGTGATGAGGGGAATTGGTTATCTTACTTAAGGGAGGGTAGATGTGTAGGATCAAAATGGTGGAGGGATGTTTGCAAGATAGATGAAGGGATGGGTATTAAAAAGGATTGGCTGAGTTTGGGTTTTGGTGTGGACTTGGGGGATGGCGAGAAGGTTAAGTTCTAGACTGATGTGTGGGTAGAAGGGTATGCTCTATCTAACAAATTCCCTCATTTATTCCTACTAGCTACAGATCAGAATTGCAGCGTCAAAGACATGGGATCCTGGTCGAAGGATTGCTGGCAATGGAAATTCTCCTGGAAACGCCCATTTCGTTCATGGGAGGAGAACGTTGAAAAAGAGTTGGTTAAGATGCTGAAATTAAGAGCTCCATCACAAAACAAGGAAGATCGATGGCAATGGCACCTGGAAACTTCAGGGACTTACACAACAAAATCAGCTTACTCATGGATCTTTAAGGGAGAACCAAAGCCAGCAACTGACTTCATAAGGGTGTGGAAAGCCCCCATTCCACCTAAAGTAAGTGCATTTTGCTGGCAATTGCTTCACAAGAAAATCCCTACAAAAGATAACCTTTCAATTCGAGGAATATATAATGCAAACTCTAATTTAAATTGCTGCTGGTGTGATTCATCAATGGAGACGCCCAATCATATTTTTGCTCAATGCAATGTGGCTTTTAGGTTATGGATGAAATGCTACAAGTGGTGGGGCGTGCAATATGTACTGGATAATTCATGTTTAATGCTTTTTGAGCAACATAAATGGCTTGGAGGTCCAAAAATACTTGATAGGGGATGGAACATTATCTAGTTCGCAGTAATATGGACACTATGGCTGGGCAGGAACGAAAAGATTTTCCAGATGAAGGAGACAAAGCTCGATAGATTCTTTGAGCTAGTTCAGATTCGATCTTTCTTCTGGGTAACGAACATTCAAGGTATGGAAGGGTTCTCTTTATTTGAATGGTGCGAGAATCCAACCAAATGTCTTAAGAATAACCCTGTCCGAAAAGATAGTGTTTGAACTGGTCTTTTTGTTTTAACTAGTCTTCTTGGAAAGTTGGTTTTATTTTCTTTGTTGGGTGTTCTACCCTCGTTGCTTTAGTGTTGCTGGTTTTTTAAGCAACAAGTTGGTTTTTGTATACACGGGTTTGAGTACCCCTTTTACTCATCAAATAAATATATTAATATTCTTTTGCCTTTCAAAAAAAAAAATAACAAGTCAGATCTTCGTCTTCAGTCCCTTTTTCACTTTTTTTTTTTTTTTGAAAATAGTCTCTTGCTTTTAATCATTTGGAAGATGTTGGCAATCCAAGTCTGATTTAGTGAAAACAATGGATCCATTTTGGACCAATGATGACTATTTTGATTTTGCAATTGTGAAGGCAATTCTATACATCTAATATCTTTACATACTTGGTTCTATGCCTATTTTCCCATGAGATTTCTGAGAAATACTTGCGCAGTAGCAGTTAATGAGAAACCATGAAATCACTAAACAGAACTATGAATTGGAAG